CCGGGGGTTCCAACCCCCCCCCCTCAGAGTCCCGAGGGCTCAGTCCAACGCCACGCCGCCGTGAGGAGAGAGGAGAAAGATGGGGAGGGGGGCTGCAGCCTTGTGCCCCCCGACTCCCCCACCCCGGCCCCACGGCGGCGCCGCGGCTAACAGGGACACTCGTGGTGCTGGCCCGGCTTGCGCTGGCCCGGCCTGCAGGGCTCCATGGTGATGGCCACACCGACACCGCTGCGGCCCGACGTCATGCGCGTCACCTCCGTCCACGCGTCCTCCGCTGGGTCGTAGCACTCCACCGAGTCCAGGAACGTGTGGCCATCGTAGCCCCCTGCGCACACATGGCATCAGGACCCCCGCCCCGTGGACCCCCCGTGCCCAAAGCATTACTGCGATGAGACCCCCCCCCCATTACTATGATGGGTGAGCCCCACAAAGACCCCCCCGTCCCAAAATAAACCCCTGTTATGGTATTGGGAACCCCACGAACCCAAGACATAGACCTTGCATCGGGACCCCCATGGGACCACACACTCGAGGCCCCCACCAACCCAAGGTGTAGATCTCGCAATGAGCCCCCAACCAACAGCTCCAGGACCCCCGTGGGACCCCCGGCCCCCACCCACCCAGCACGTAGATCTTGCCCTGGTACACAGTGACACCAAGGGCGCTGCGCCGGTAACGCATGGGGGCCACGAAGCTCCACGTGTCGCTTTCCACGTCGTAACGCTCGGTGCTGTTGAGCTGATCCGTCCCATCGTAGCCCCCCATGGCGTAGATGCAGTTGTTGAGGGCGCAGACCCCTGGGGGGGGGGGGGGGGGGAGGGGATCGTTAGGATTGGGGTGGTGGGGGGTGCAATCTGATGGATTGGGAATAGGGAAGGGGGGGTGATGGAAAGGGGGGATGGCAAGGAGCGGGATCAAGGATGGGATCCCAAGGATCGGGGTCATGGTGTGGTGGGATCACCAGGGTTGGGATCATGGAAGCAGGGGATCCCTGAGGTGCAGCATCACGGACGGAGGGCAGCACTGCGGGGTGATGGAACGGGGTGTGGGAAGGATGGGAATGGGGGAAAGATGGAGTGAGACACAGCGACGGGAGAGCGGCGGAGTCACGGAGGACTGGGGATGGTGGGAGGGCGGGAGGACCCCGGGTTGGATGGGCTGTGAAATGTGGAGCTGCCGGTCCTGCGTTGGCAGGGGCTGCAGATTCCTGATCCTTGAGGTCCCTTCCAACCCTGGCCATTCTGAGATGACGCAAAGGTAGGAGGACAGAAAGACCGGAGGACAGGAGGAGAGGCTCGGGGCAGCCCCCCCAGGACCCCCCACCTCCCCCCCACGCTCACCGGCGCCGCTGCGGATGCTGGCCATGGGCGCGATGGCCCTCCAGGCGTCGCGCTCGGGATGGTAGCACTCGGCCGAGCGCAGCCGCGCGGTGCCATCGAAGCCCCCCACGGCGTACAGCAGCCGGTTCAGCACCGCCACGCCGACCCCGATGCGCCGCGTCAGCATCGGGGCCACCAGCTGCCACTCGTCCCGCTCCGGCTCGTACCTGGGGGGATGGGGGCGAGGGGGGAGGGGGCGCTCAGTCGGGGCTCCCCGGGGCCGCCCTTCCGGCTCCTACCCCCAGCCTTAGGGCGGATCTGGCGCCGCCTCCCCCCGAGGCGATTCTGGGCTGCCGTTACTGGACTCGGAGCCCCCCGCCCCCAGGGCAGAGCCGTGTCCCCTGAGGTCAGACCTGCGCCCCCCCC